GGAATTGACATTTCAATCACTAGGGGCAGCAGGAACAACCTTTGTTTTCACTTCCTGCCTCTAAAATTCTGTAGGTGACTTCTATGACAGCCAGTGGGGATGGATTCTGAGTGTCGGAATCAATTTTAGCATAATTTTGAACTTCATGGTGACCACTGATCCTAATAAATGAATTTTGCTGCAGCTCTGTTTGCATTTTTTGGTGGAAGATATCTGCTCCTTTGAAATCACGATGGTCATAGAAGAGGAGGAAATGTGAAGAGGAAATGTGAAGCTTAAGAGATCGAATATGGTGCAATCGTAGACTCCGTTACATTTCAACCCTTTTTAGGCTCTCCAAATTTAGGGAATGTCACAACCCGTCGTGCGACTTAGAATTAATTAAGGCAGGAACAGACATTCGGACGGTGAAATTTAGTATTCTATTATTCTAATTTTATCACTAACCATTTAATATCAAAAGAATCATGAAAGAATCCCTTAAAAAAAAGAAGTTTAATTTATAAACTTGTCCAAAAAAGAGAGATTGGCTCCAAAAATAACTTCAAATACAAGCCCATCGTGCCTTCTCCAATAGAACTGGCCAAAGTCCATAAGCTCTAAATCATCTGATTCATGGCCGTCATCATCTTCGCAAAAGAAAATGTAGTCAAAGTAATCCGTGGAGTTGTATCAATGCTGCCATATTATCTCTAACTTTCTCCCCTTGATTGTCCATATTTTTGAAATAACATAAGATTATAATTAGACATAATTTAACCCTTCATTAATATTATTTATGAATTAATTTAATCAATCTAATGACCTATTTTAAATTGATCCAACCTAAAATCTTTGATACCACTTTTGTCACGACACGACCTGATTGATTTGAATTAACCAAATCCAGAAATGCATTCAGATGGTATCAAATCTTAGAGAAATATAAAAATTTCTATAAACTTCCAATATATATAAAAAGTCGCTAAGAAATTATCACAACACGGCCCGAGGGTTAGAATTAACCAAGGAGGGATAGACAATCAGATGGTAGGAATTAAGTTTTTTTATATTTATTTATCATTTAAAAAATAAAAGTGCCAATAACCAAATTAAATTAATACAATATATTTAAATTTACCTGCAAGTGTCTTCTATAAACATTTTTCTTTCTATCGCGTATCCTTTAATCTTAATCAAACATAAAATATTAATTTAGAACGACTATAAGTTTAAACAAAACTAGTGAATACTCAAACTCCTAAAATATAGTAATACATGAGGAAAAAAAGTAGTATGCGTGACAATTAAGTTTTTACTAAATTAATATGAACATTTGATGGTTTTTAAGGAATCATGCTATATCAATAGTATATATGTGTATATGAATCATTTTATTTTGTACAAAAGTGATAGAAGCACCGTATAAAAATAATATCACTTAAAGTACTTCAATATCAATATAATTTTCTATTTACATGCATGAAAATCTTAGTGTTTCTCCACTAGTATCATAAAAGGAGTAACTTCATCATAGTCAATCATGCACATACAAGCAGTCAGTATAGACACAAACACAGACACAGACACTGAGCTATATAATGCAA